TTCTTTAATTTGAATTTTTGTAAATTAAAATTTTTTAAATAAACTTATTTTATTTTATTTTTATTTTTTGGCGATATGGACATTCGATCGCGAGCAAATCTCTTTCTGTTTCCTTATGCTTTTCTTTTTCTTTTATCCTTGTTTTTTCTTCTTCTTTTTTTAAACATCTCACATGGTGACAACATAAGACTTAACAAGAACTGTGAATTGTTGTAAGGACATGGACGTTAATTTACCGTGTGTCGTTTAGCAATCAATACACTTTCTAGACATTTTGCCTTAGTACATTTCTTGCTCGTCTAATTAAACTTGCATAATTTAATTTGAAATTATGATCAGGCTTATTACAGCGAACTACTAATGTACTGTGTATGTTCTTTTATAAAATACTTATTTTGTGTGCATATAATATTTTAGTTAAATTCCCAACGTAAAGTAAATTATTATAAAGATATAAAACATGTTTCATTTCTTTCTTCAGCATAATGTTCTGTCTATGGTATTTTTATGGTGTCAATCTTTCTTTGATATTTCATATTATTTTCCTATTTTTCCGTTCGACTCACAAAAATATGTCCATATCTACGATTTATCTAGTTTTTGTATGATTAAAAAACAAGGGTACGTATAAATTATATGTCTGGATGCTAGAGGTAGTGGAGATTCAATTTAACTAATATATTTTATGATGGGTATAATATTTTTTATTAACTGTAGAAATCTATAATATTCTTTAAATAAAAAAATACTCAGACATTTATAAATAAACATATAATTATTACTTCCACTTAGAATATCTAAATCAACGAAAATTCTTTTATTCTGACACCATCTATTTTATATTCACAGACAGATTGAAATAAATCACTAACATCATTTCAATATATTTGAATGAATAATACATTATTTTTTCTATTAGAATAATATTTCTTACTCAGTTATCTTTTTCTTGTTTAATCTTACATAATATTGCAATACAGGTGTAAATACAACGGGAAAATAGTAACTGATTCTTTTTACTCAGGATGGCAACATATGATTTTACGTTTTCATATTTACAAACAATCAATTAATTTGAATTAAATTTTAAGAGTTTGTTTCTTGAAAGCTAATCAAAATCTTCCATATGCTCCATTCAAACTTAACTGATTTTGTCACATAGAGTATCTTTATACAGAGTATTATCTTTTAACAGCATGTTATTCTTACTTTTCTCATCTAAAATTGTTTTTAACATTTCCAGAATTCACTCACGTGAGTCCATTTAACAGATTGATATAACCTTATATATTAGGCATTTTCTACTAATAAGCCATAAATATAGTTTTGTAAAGAAAGATTCAGATTTACTATTTCAGTCATAATGATTCCGATTTTTTAAAGAACCATGTAAAGGAAACGTTCTAATTAATTATGCAAGGACAAACGAGGTTTTTCGCTATATTAAGTTAAATGATACAATCGGAATTTTGACTGTTGAATGAGAATTTTATTAACTTATTCCCAATGATCGTAAAAATTATTCTTTTTACCAAAACAGTTTAATATCTTATAGATTGCAGGCTGTGTTAGAAAATATATTATTTAATAGGTTTTTGAGAGGCAAAGGTATTTTAAATTTTACACTAACGTGAATTGATCGGATTTTTACGGCTTATCAACCATATACGGGTATTTAAAACGAAAATTATTTTGGGATTGTAAGAATTTTTTTCTGTTATGTTCTACGATTTAACCCAGAGTTGGTAGGAGAAGAGCTGGGTTCAAACTTTTCTTAAGTGTATTTCCACATCAGCGACTATCAACGAACCCGACTGGAATTCGTACTTCGCTCTTCAGTTTCTAATTCTGTACTATTACTTTCATCCGCACATCTAAACTTACAGCATTATTATCAAGCTGTCATCGGTCTAGGTACTAAACGGATACTTCACTGAGCGGGCATGAACGCTAATACTGACGTGCAATGAATAAACAGACAAAAGTATTTTTTTCCTCAGCGTTGTCAATCATTCAGAAATAGGCAGCATTATTTTATTCGATTTGGACTTTCATTGAGAAATTTATCGAAGAATGAAGTGTAAGCTTCATATTGTCAGCTCCTCTCGAACTATGGAAATCATTAAATGTCGAGTGGGGATTTGACTAAATGTGTAATGAGTAAATATCAAATCGCACCAGAATTGAGAATTCGACTTTCAGACATGAATAGCGTAATGCAACATTTATTATGGAAGGAAAGAAACCTTCTTCGTTTAGTGTAAATCGATTTGGTCCATAAGAAATGCATATTGTTCCAAGTTAACAGGTAACTGAAATATTCCTTGTAGCAAGGCAACTAATGCAACAGAGGGCGTTTTAATCAGCTGAATAAACGGCAAAACTGTAACCAGCCAATCATAACATAATTTAAAGGAAGTCATTTAGTAGATGTGAATGCGCATCTATCTGTTAGCGTGTATCTTACTGTTTTTGAGTAGGGTCACGTTTTCTTTGGTCAAAAGAGAGAGGGGCAACTGAGGAAAATAATACTGAAGAGGTGGCCAGCCCCGGAGAACAGCTGCCGAGGCCGCCCCCTCCCATTGCACCAGAGGGAGAGATCGGTGCTCCCACCGGAGCCAGCGCAACCGACGGTTGTGGGGGCTGAAGGTAATTTTTCTTCCTATCCCGGGTGTACGCGCTTGGGTCCCCACCTAAAAATAGAACTTGGGTCACATCTCGTCCTAGTGTAAATACCCCATCTTTCTATTAGTAAATATAATAATTATTTTTTTTACAATGGTGTTGACTCTGTACAAGGACCGTGGACTACTCGAAGTAGAGTGTTACGGAATAAGAAGCAGAGTTTATGCGAATATGTATGGAATATAGCTGTTAACCATAGACATGTACAGGTTAAGATTTTAGAGATCTGGGAACGTCATCTTGGGAGTCGGTTCCACAATGCAGTGGTTCGGGAGAAGAAGGTGCGTGGGAATACGAAGAGCATGAATGGTGATCTGCTACTGTGTACTTGTCATGGGGGGGGGTGGAACTAAGGAATGGAGTTCATCTGATCATTTTCCGTGGAAATAGTGATCGAGCAGAGAGAGTTGTGACGTCTCGTATGTGAGAAAATGGTTCTCGTCTGGAAAATAGTTCCTCATCCACAAAGACGTGAAGAACTTTTTGGACTTCACTGGGCAGCTCCTGCATATATATGGCAGCAGTACACCATTTCCGGCCTAATCTGGCCCTTGTAAAAGTAGTAGAGGCAAGAGGAGTGAATTACTTGCAGGAGCGGCACAGGGAACTGGCCATTTCCCCAGTATCTTTAGCGATGGATCGTATGTACGAATCCAGCATGAAATCTGGGCTAAGTTTCACCCAGCAGGGGCTCAAGGCAAAGAAGCATCCCTGGGGAAACATCCGTTCATCAAGACTGGTAAAGTTCTGATTCCTATCGGCGAAAATATTATATATAAAAAGACTCAACGTATATGAAATGAAAGTCTTTCATATCTCTGCCAAAATTCTGATATATTAGCTTAGAATATAAAATAAACAAATAAAAATGCAAATTCCAAGATTCTGTTCTCATGATATTTTTTAGCATTCACCAAACACATTTTCAGATATATCGAATTTTGATAAACAACAAACCATTTGAGTTATTTGTTGATTCTAAATTTATGACGTTTCGGTTCAAATACTGAGATGATATTTGAAGAATAACTTTATCATTTTAATTGTGTTATTGTCACTTGCATTTCTATTGCTTTCCCATAATATTTAAGCGATAAAACTATTTTTCAATACAGGTTTCTTTAAATGAAAATAAATTGCACAAATATTTTGGTCATGTTTTATTTTACTGAAGGTAACATAACGTATGTTAATGATCTTTACTAACGCATTGCCACTATAAAATCTCATCTCACGCAAGATAACTGTCTATCTCTCTCTTAGCAGGCATATTCACTATTGCAACTGTTGCATCATAAGGAAGATTAGAATACATGTGTACACTTTTACAAGCCGAGTTTTATGTATGAAGAGGCAATTCGTATATCGATGAGGGAAGAAATAAGAGGCGAAAGGGACATTTCTTCTCAACAAAATCTAAGCAGGTAAGTTAAAGAACGAAATAAAAAGAGATTAACAAGCAGCATATAAACTATTATTTTCGTTTCCATTTTTATCTTAAGATTGTTTTGTGTTTGTATTCCTGATTTTCTTTGTTTCCATGGATTTGCTTTTCTTCTCGGATCTTTCTTTCCTTTCTTTAATTGTTTTATCTGTTCTTTCCTTTTAGTTCTTTCATTCTTTCTCTCTTTCTTTCATTCTTTCTTTCATTCTTAGCTTATATTCTTAGATTTTCTATGTTTACGAGAGTTCGTAGCTGAACTTGCGATTTAAACTATCGCTGTATTATGTTCGATTTGTTTAAATAATAATGCACTGCATTCGGTGCATTGGCAAAGATGGAAATTGTTTTTAAAAGTAAATCGCTTTTCTGTAAAATAAATGATTTTTCGCATCATTAAACTATGGAAATATTTATCTACTTACCTTTTCCTATGTACAAGTATATATATATATATATATATATATATATATATATATATATGTATATGTATGTATATGTGCATAATTTTGTCTGCTATAATTAAGTGTATTAAATTAATCATTACAAATAACTTAATATAAAACCCTAACTCTAAATTTAATAATTTAATATAACCCTAACCCTAAATAATGCTTCATATTATTTGCAATCTCGTGTTACCAACGAAAGTAGATTTTCATTCATTCTTTCAATCTTTGATTCTTTACACGAGCTTTTCTCTCCATTTTCCTTCCAGTTTTCCTTTGATAAAATTACTTTTTTTTAACAATTTTGCTCTTCTCTTGTTTCCTTCTCAATCCATTCAACCGTTTTTTAATTCTTTTTTACATCAATCTCTGAACTGGGTCCCAAGATTTTCACACTTATACCATCCAGTATTTGGGATTCTTAGCTTTTCTTCTTTGTTATTCGACAACCCCCCCCCTTTCAGTTTCTTGCTGTCTTTGATTATCTTTTACTCAGGAATTTATTTTTCCTTACTTTTTCTGTTTTTTTTCTACTTCTTTTTTCCTTTTCTCTTTTTTACCGCTCATAGGTTGATCGATCGAATTCAAGACCAATACTAAATTTTATGAAGGAGGGCAGCACATGAATAATTGACAAAACGAAGAAAGTAAAATGATGCTAAACAGAAGAAATCAACTTATTTGCTTCCATTTTGCCACTGACAAACTCACTTTTCTTTTGCTCTTTACATACGTAGTGATGAGCGCCTATTATAAATCAATGGTCAGTAGCACTGCATCAACGATGAACTACATCCTGTAGCAAGGCGTATGATCGGGAGATTGGAGGTTTTGAGGAGCATGCAATCACATCCTAATTTCTGTTGTTCCCAGGTCCACCATGACCCGAAATGGTAGCGTCTGTTAGGGTCCCAGCTATGGGCATATAATGAATCCCCAAACAAAATCGAAATAGAATGAAAGCATAAAAATGAATTTTATAGTAAAAACAACAGTAAAACATTCTTAGATAAAAAATGGCCAAAACGCATATTTATCGTAAAATGACAAACGTTATATTTCATCTAAAATTGGGTTACAATATTTAGATTTCGTCATTAAATATCCATAAAAGACATGCTGCTAAACAAAATCAACAAACGAACACCTTTACATCGATAATTATTCTTACTCTTTTCAATCTGTACAGACGGTAACCTTTTGTTGCGTTGTGTTTGTCAGACGAAGTTTTACAGAATAGAAATACAAAACATTATTCCCCAATTAGATCTTCACGATTATACGACAAGTTTAGAATGATCAGCTTTTTTGAATGATCAAATGAGTCGGGTTACTTGGTTCAAGAATTTAAATGACATCGTAAATGAAAATACTTTTGAACACTTCACTTTCGGCCATTTTTGAAGTACAATGAACTGATAAAAAATGAACTCTTGTCCAATTCTTATCTTCATTGAAATAAACCAAATATATACTGCAATTTACTCATGGTTAAATCATTTAACATTTTTATATACATAACATTAAATAAGTATGGACTATTTTAGATTTTTTTAAGTATGTGTTTTGCGACTAAAATTAAAAAAAAAAACTTTTGCTTCATTGCTGAAATCGTTGTGTAATTTCAAATAGTATCTACGTTTAAGATTTGAGCACTCGTTTACTCATATTTCAAAAGCCATTTATCAGAAAAGGCAAGACTTTCTTCGCATTTGGACGTCTTGGTGCAACACAGTGTTTCTACATTTCATATACTTTTTAAAATATTAGGATTAAGCACAAAATTAGTAGATCTTTTTTGTCGAAGAAGGTAAACAACATTTCTAAAAATTTCTGTCTACAAATATCATATTATAATTAAGCATATTTATTGTTTCCAAAACCGTCGTTAAAATATAATCGAAATATCACTTGATTTGAATTAGACGTGGCAAAATGTTGTTTTATTTGCAGACCCCACACTCCAACGTTTAATCTCCCCGATAGAAGCTAAATAAAAACTTACTTTTTTCATAAAAATCCACCAGTAATTTGAAATAAATGTCCCATGACAAACGATATCCTGTTTTTCTGAACGATCATGTCTTTCTGTTTTGTGTTATTGATTTTAAACGCTAAACTTTATTGCCTGTACATTTAAACGGAACAGCTTATGAAAAAAGCAAGAAAATACAAGAAAAAATGTTCTTCATTGAGTGTTAAGGAATGAAGATTATTTGAGGGAAACAAATGTGGGTCAGACCGAGTAAAACCAATCAATACGTTAACCATGTTTTAGTCCAAATTCATCATTTTATTTTATTTTTTTAAAATGTATTTGCAAATATTTTTATCATTAATGCCGATAACATTTGAAATTTGTAAGATTATTAGTATCTGGAGTACACAATAATGTATGGCCATGCAGGATTATACGGAAGGTCTACTCAGATATGTGTGGAATACTATAAAGTGTCACTGGTTGTAGCTGAAAGGTTTAATGAGGCACTATTACGACACTGTTAATATGAAAAGGATTAAAAGGTTTCATGTGAAAAGTCTGTATTAGATTTAGAGAATTGGAAAGGTTACAAACGTTAAGGTGAAAACATGAATTGAAATATGGAGCAAGGAGAGAAAGGGAAATGTTTTTTTGTTTTTTTTAATAACCAAAAAAGCAGAATTGAATATTGGGTTCAAAATATGATCTGAGAAATACAAATGGAATTGTTATGATTCGAAAAGGCCATGGGCTTGTGACGAAACTGTGCTACCAGATCATTACCAGTAATATTGCCGATTCTTCTTTAGGTCTTTTCAAGGAGCTCAAGGTAAACAAGAGGGGCATCGGACCATATATGGCAACCATATTCTAAGCATAGACGAAGGGTAGACTTCTAGCTATGTAACATAGATTCGGGGGAAAAAGATAGGACACAATGAACTGACCTTCTTAGCAGCTGAACTAGCAATGCATTCAATATAGCCTTTCCACTATATCAGCTAAGAACGTTAGCGCGAAAAGGCGTAGTGGGTCACGCTGATGGAATACAGGGAAGGCTCTCGCAGATAATTAATATAGAGAAGTTTACTTTTGGAGGCCATCTTCGGTCCCAGTTGCTGGGAGTATCAACCTTAATATCGAAGTAAAAGTATCTGGTTTTGTCGTCGGCGTAGATGCCAAGTTAGGAGCTGATGTCATCTGCAAGGTCGTCAATGAAAATTTAAAACAGTGTAAGTACAAAATGATCTGAGGAGTGGTCTTTCAGATCAACTTTCATTTCACGATTTGATATGAAAGACTGGAGCAGATCATAAATATGTCCGGAGACATCGTAAGTTTTCAATTTGATGAGAAAACTTATATGCCAGACCGTGTCAAATGCTTTCCAGATGTTCAATGCAACATCCCGGGCTTCATCATTTTTATCACGAACATAATAGAATCTTTCGCAATTAACGTCAGGATATCAGTAGTTGATCTAGAGAAACGAAAGCCGCATTGCTTGTCTGAGAAAAGGACCTACGATAGATATTATGAAACAATTCAGCAATGTTTAGAGACTCTGAGACAGGTAGAATGATAATATATCTATAGTTGGAAAGGTAGGACGGTTTACCAGAGTACTTAAAAACTGAAACAACACACGATGACTTTCAGCCAGTAGGAAAGCAAGAGGCAATGAGTCATTTATTATGCCGTTTAGAGAGAACAAGAAATAGTTCAGGAGCACACATCTTAATGACTATTACTGGGATGCCATATATATATATATATATATATATATATATATATATATATATATATATATGCATGTTTCATTAAAAAACGACAGACAAGGTACTACGGTTGAGCTTTTTATTTAATTTTTCTTGTGTTCTGACAAGAGCTTTCTTTTCTGGACAAAGAGTGTGTAAGAACTGTCCGAATGTGTGACGTCATTTAAAATTTAGGTTTTGCTTTCGAATCATGGTACTTTCTGTGTCACGATGAATACATATTTTTAAATAATAATTATGTTATGCTCTACTATGTATCGAGCACTGTTTTTAAACATAAATGCTAAAGAAACCTAGATTATAAATTTGACTGTTCTTTATATATATATATATATATACGTTGGGCTCTTCCGTCATTTTCAACTTATGCTATCTTTGTGCGAGAAAGAAGAACTAGTTCACTAGTTTACCTGTTAGAACAGAGCACCCAAAATATTTGAATATATGATTTGGTTATAGTGATGAAAGCTTGTGCAGAACTAACTATATGATTCAAATAGAGAGAAACATTGTACATAGTGTACGATATGGTCTCCAAACAAACTCCGCACGTTTTGAATTCAGAATTCCCCTTTAAGTCTAGTTCAGAACCTAGGCTATAGGTTCGGTTTGCCATTTTATTCACATATAGCCGGGTGGAGGAGAAATAGATTCATACAGTTTACAGGGGTATTTACACCTAAGTGAATGTAACGAACTTGAGGGGAATCCAAACATAGTTCTACTATATCTCAATATATATATATATATATATATATATATATATATATATATATATATATATATGCTCCTGAAAAATTTATTTCGGTTCATCTCTCTTGTGAGGAAGTGTTGGTTTGTAAACAGTGACTATTACGCCTAATAATAATAAAGACTCTTCGATAAATCGAATTGAGTTCTCTCAGTCACTGTTTATTTATCTAAAAATAAATATGCTTAAATTCACTTTCATCCCTGCCGTACGCCAACGGCTTAGTGGTAGAATCCCTCGGGTTTCGATCCTAGGTCGAAGAAACCGGACGTCTAACCACACTGATGAGCTGTGATAAAGTCAAAGAGCCTGTCTGTGGATCACAATATATATATATATATATATATATATATATATATATATGGTAACGGTGTATAAGAATTAGTGTGTTAATTCTCCTTGATGAAGTGACGTCTGTAAACACAGAAAAACATACACATATATTTGTGTAAAAATTTAGATATAACTAACAATATAGATGCAAAGTACTATATGAATAACTACAAAATGAACACATATGAGTGAGTGTTTAACACTATAGTTATCGCTACTGCAAGTTAAATCGGCATGCCCAGTTCAAATTTTGAGCGCGTCATTTCGTTCAATTTCCATTTATATTCTTGGATGAGGCATGAATCCATTTTAGTTATTTATCAGGTATATATATATATATATATATAGAGAGAGAGAGAGAGAGAGAGAGAGAGAGAGAGAGAGGTAGACAGGTAGATAGATAGATAATTACGATTCCAGTGTAATAAATTATAACCATGGAGACAGACAGACAGACAGAGAAAATAAAGAATAAAAATAAATGAATAGTGACAAAGAAATTATCATTTTATTTAGAAATCCAAATATACCCGGTGAAATATACCCAAAGTTAAATATACTAAATTATATAAATTATATTTCTCGTTCTAGTGAGGTAAGAACAGATTAACATAATTTTCACAATTCTTTGTATCTCATCGTAAATAACAGAATTATAATGTTAATTTCATAAAACTACTCCAGTTACAGTATTTAGAGAGACTCCAATTATCTACCATGTCTATG